TGGTCTGGAAAGAAATAGAAGGCATATCCCCCTGATCCATAGGTATGTAGCAGTCCATAGGAATGATATGGCCAATTCTTTTCTTGTGGTTTATAGGTAAACCCATTGGGATTCGTGCTGACAGCCTGCTTTCCAACATCTTTCCAAAAGCTAGAATAGTTTTTTGTGTCTTCTGGGTCAACACCATACTCGGGATGACAATGCATTATGTTCTTGATGCCATTTAGGACGGGGTTTTTGTCAGGCAGACACCTTTTGGCATCAGGGGTGGCCCGAACTTGCCGCATCAGTGGAAGACCTAGGATCTGAGATGAGCTGTCATAAATATACGTCGGGTGCACATCATTGTGGAACAAAGGTAGTGGTACTTTACTGAGCCACCTGTAGATGTGTTCGAGCTTAGTGACTGTGGTAAGGTCCACGGAAAAATAATCCCGAATAAACTGGTTATAGTGAAAGCAGTCAGCGTGGTGCAGACGCGTGATGAGGCCCAGCAAAAGGGCTAGAAAGGTAAAGTGCATGAGAAGGTAACTAAGGAAAAGGAATGCTCTTCTCTTGATCCTCTTCTTCCTTTTGAATATTCCAATTTCTACCTGCGTGAGGGGTTTATAGATCTTAGACCGTCTCAGGCGTCTGATGTGGAGATGCTGCCTGTGTTTTTCGGCTTTGCTCTTCCTCAGCTCAGGAAGCTTGATCTCCGTGAAACGATACTTCACTGTCCATGGAAGGCCCTTACAGTACTGGGTTTTATTTGTTCTGAAACTTGTCCAGAGTAAAATTTTGGCCGTCTGCACCAGAAAAATTGACTGAAAAAAAGAAAACACCGATGTCAAAAACCATTGTTTTGACATGTTAGAGCCATAAGTCAGTCCATAAAACACAATAAAGAATGACGATATGCTACAAATGGCAAAGACCAGGAACCATGCTATGTAAACACACCACCGAGGGAGAAGAATCCTGGTCTTACGCTTCGGTTGCTCTTGGGAAGGCAGCTCCTCAGAGCGCACATCTTGATTATATGTCGTGTCAGCGTTTTTGTTGTTAGAATTGGTATTTTTCTTGTAGGACTGAGGGGCCTTGCTTTCTTCCACCTCAAGCTGGTGATTTATTTTGGAGGTTGTCTTCCCAGGAGCCTCCTGAAGTTCAGGACTGCCACTAGATGCGAGCTTTTCCGCCTGTCTGGTCTCCGTGTTAGTGGTCTCATAAGCATACCACTTTACCAAATCTTCATCCCAAAATCCTCCTCCTTCTGACACCACAGGATAATGCTTTTGCGGAGCTCCTTCATCTACAGTCATTTCAGTAGGTTTCTTCTGAGAATAGGTGAACAGAAAACTTAGCAATAATTGTAAGGGGACGGTAGTTAAGGTGCTTTTGATTGCAATCATCATTAATCTGATGTGGTATAACTCTTTTGACTCAATGTCTTCTTTGCGATTGGCGTTAAAGAACATAATGTTACAGAGAAGAGTGCTGAGCAACACTGCTAAACAGCAAGACAGTCGTTGTAGCCGGTTGACCGGTTTAGCAATGATACCGGCAAAAATAGAGAACCACATGTGGTTTCTCCTGAGCTCATAAGTTGAAGTGATCAAGAAAAAATCGATTCTGTTCAGAGGCTTCTCTGGGTTGGTTACAGGAAATGTCTGGTCCACAGAGGTTTTAAGAGAAAGCCATTTCCGACACATGAACAGCCAAACGCGTCTGTGGAACAGGTTTTCCACTTTAATTCGACTTACATACCAATTGGGCGCTTTGCCCTCATTGTTGTGCCACAGGCGAATGGAGTGGATGTCACCCAAGTCACTTTTCGTTGTTAGGAGGAAAGTATCGATGTTTCCTCTGTAGAGAGTTTTATAATCCGGATGGGTTAAGCAGTGCACATCACTGGTACCTTTTGATCCCATCAGCTGGATAAAGACATCAGCCCTGGTCCC